GTCCCTTCCAACCCTGATATTCTATGATTCTATGACTTGCTTTCCCCTGCCCTGAGGCGCATGAATACCAAGATGAGAGCAGCCCTCACAGTTGAGAAGCGAGTGGCGATAGCCCTGTGGAAGCTTGCAACGCCAGACAGCTACCGGTCAGTCAGGAATCAATTTGGAGTGGGCAAATCTACTGTTGGGGCTGCTGTGAGGCAAGTAGCCCACGCAATCAAAGATCTGCTGATATCAAGGGTAGTGACCCTGGGAAATGTGCAGGTTATAGTGGATGGCTTTGCTGCAATGGGTTTCCTTAACTGTGGTGGGGCCATAGACGGAACCCATATCCCTATCTTGGCACCGGAGCACCAAGCCGCCGAGTACGTAAACCGCAAGGGGTACTTTTCAATAGTGCTGCAAGCTCTGGTGGATCACAAGGGACGTTTCACCAACATCAACGTGGGATAGCCGGGAAAGGTACATGACGCTCGCATCTTCAGGAACTCTGGTCTGTTTCAAAAGCTGCAGGAAGGGACTTTCTTCCCAGACCAGAAAATAACGGTTGGGGATGTTGAAATGCCTATATGTATCCTTGGGGACCCAGCCTACCCCTTAATGCCATGGCTCATGAAGCCATACACAGGCAGCCTGGACAGTAGTCAGGAGCTGTTCAACTACAGGCTGAGCAAGTGCAGAATGGTGGTAGAATGTGCATTTGGACATTTAAAAGTGCGCTGGCGTAGTTTACTGACTCAGTTAGACCTCAGCGAAACCAATATTCCCATTGTTATTACTGCTTGCTGTGCACTCCACGATATCTGTGAGAGTAAGGGGGAGATGTTTATGGCGGGGTGGGAGGTTGAGGCAAATCGCCTTGCCGCTGGTTACGCGCAGCCAGACACCAGGGCGGTTAGAAGAGCACAGGAGGGCGCGGTACGCATCAGAGAAGCTTTGAAAACCAGTTTCATGACTGGCCAGGCTACGGTGTGAAAGTTCTGTTTGTTTCTCCTTGATGAAACCCCCCGCCCCCTGGTTCACTCTACTTCTACTTCCCTGTAAGCTAACCACCCTCCCCTCCTCCCTTCGATCTCCGCTTGCAGAGGCAATAGTGTCATTGTTGCTTCACATTCATGCATTCTTTATTCATTCATCACACAAATAGGGGGATGACTACCAAGGTAGCCCAGGAGGGGTGGTGGAGGAGGGAAGGAAAATGCCACACAGCACTTTAAAAGTTTACAACTTTAAAATTCATTGAATGCCAGCCTTCTTTTTTTTGGGCAATCCTCTGTGGCGGAGTGGCTGGTTGGCCGGTGGCCCCCCCACCGCGTTCTTGGGTGTCTGGGTGTGGAGCCTATGGAACTTGGGGAGGAGGGCGGTTGGTTACACAGGGGCTGTAGTGGCAGTCTGTGCTCCAGCTGCCTTTGCTGCAGCTCAACCATACACTGGAGCATACTGGTTTGGTCCTCCAGCAGCCTCAGCATTGAATCCTGCCTCCTCTCATCACGCTGCTGCCACATTTGAGCTTCAGCCCTCTCTTCAGCCCGCCACCTCTCCTCCCAGTCATTTTGTGCTTTCCTGCACTCTGACATTATTTGCCTCCATGCATTCATCTGTGCTCTGTCAGTGTGGGAGGACAGCATGAGCTCGGAGAACATTTCATCTCGAGTGCGATTTTTTCTTTCTAAGCTTCACTAGCCTCTGGGAAGGAGAAGATCCTGTGATCTTTGAAACACATGCAGCTGGTGGAGGAAAAAAAAAAGGGACAGCGGTATTTAAAAAGGCACATTTTATAAAACAGTGGCTACATTCTTTCAGGGTAAACCTTGCTGTTAACATTACATACATAGCACATGTGTTTTCGTTACAAGGTCGCATTTTGCCTCCCCCCACCGCGTGGCTACCCCCTCGACCCTCCCCCCTTCCTGTGGCTAACGGCGGGGAACATTTCTGTTTAGCCACAGGCAAACAGCCCAGCAGGAACGGGCTCCTCTGAGTGTCCCCTGAAGAAAAGCACTCTATTTCAACCAGGTGACCATGAATTATATCTCGCTCTCCTGAGGATAACACAGAGAGATAAAGAACGGATGTTGTTTGAACGCCAGCAAACATACGCTGCAATGCTTTGTTGTACAATGATTCCCGAGTACGTGTTACTGGCCTGGAGTGGTAAAGTGTCCTACCATGAAGGACGCAATAAGGCTGCCCTCCCCAGAAACCTTTTGCAAAGGCTTTGGGAGTACATCCAGGAGAGCCGCGAATGCCAGGGCAAAGTAATCCTTTCACATGCTTGCTTTTAAACCATGTATAGTATTTTAAAAGGTACACTCACCGGAGGTCCCTTCTTCGCCTGCTGGGTCCAGGAGGCAGCCTTGGGTGGGTTCGGGGGGTACTGGCTCCAGGTCCAGGGTGAGAAACAGTTCCTGGCTGTCGGGAAAACCGGTTTCTCCGCTTGCTTGCTGTGAGCTATCTGCAACCTCATCATCATCATCATCATCTTCTTCATCCCCAAAACCTGCTTCCGTATTGCCTCCATCTCCATTGAAGGAGTCAAACAACACGGCTGGGGTAGTGGTGGCTGAACCCCCTAAAATGGTATGCAGCTTATCATAGAAGCGGCATGTTTGGGGCTCTGACCCGGAGTGGCCGTTCGCCTCTCTGGTTTTCTGGTAGGCTTGCCTCAGCTCCTTCAGTTTCACGCGGCACTGCTTCGGGTCCCTGTTATGGCCTCTGTCCTTCATGCCCTGGGAGATTTTGACAAAGGTTTTGGCATTTCGAAAACTGGAACGGAGTTCTGATAGCACGGATTCCTCTCCCCATACAGCGATCAGATCCCGTACCTCCCGTTCGGTCCATGCTGGAGCTCTTTTGCGATTCTGGGACTCCATCATGGTCACCTCTGCTGATGAGCTCTGCATGGTCACCTGCAGCTTGCCACGCTGGCCAAACAGGAAATGAGATTCAAAAGTTCATGGTTCTTTTCCTGTCTACCTGGCCAGTGCATCTGAGTTGAGAGTGCTGTCCAGAGCGGTCACAATGGAGCACTCTGGGATAGCTCCCGGAGGCCAATAGAGTCGAATTGTGTCCACAGAACCCCAAATTCGAGCCGGCAAGGCCGATTTAAGCGCTAATCCACTTGTCAGGGGTGGAGTAAGGAAATCGATTTTAAGAGCCCTTTAAGTTGAAATAAAGGGCTTCATCGTGTGGACGGGTGCAGGTTTACATCGATTTAATGCTGCTAAATTCGACCGAAAGTCCTAGTGTAGATCAGGGCCTAGTCACACATAGGCTGATGTGAGAAGCTAACCAATCTTCAGATCTGAGGCCTTGTTTGGGTAAGCTAAATATCTTGCAGGTCTGAGACATGTAGGCCCAGTATTACAACATTAATTAATGCTTATATTTCACTTCTACATCCTGAATATCAAGTCATGCCTGACTAATCTAATTGCCTTGTATGACGAGATAACTGGCTCTGTGGATGAGGGGAAAGCGGTGGACATGTTGTTCCTTGACTTTAGCAAAGCTTTTGACACTGTCTCCCACAGTATTCTTGCCAGCAAGTTAAAGAAGTATGGGCTGGATGAATGCACTATAAGGTGAATAGAAAGTTGGCTAGATTGTCGGGCTCAACGGGTAGTGATCAATGGCTCCATATGCAGTTGGCAGCCGGTATCAAGTGGAATGCCCCAAGGGTCGGTCCTGGGGCCAGTTTTGTTCAATATCTTCATAAATGATCTGGAGGATGGCGTGGATTGCACCCTCAGCAAGTTTGCAGATGACACTAAATTGGGAGGAGAGGTAGATATGCTGGAGGGTAGGGATAGGATACGGAGGGCCCTAGACAAATTGGAGGATTGGGCCAAAAGAAATCTGATGAGGTTCAACAAGGACAAGTCCAGAGTCCTGCACTTAGGGCGGAAGAATCCCATGCACCGCTACAGGCTGGGGACTGAGTGGCTAAGCAGCAGTTCTGCAGAAAAGGACCTGGGGATTACAGTGGACGAGAAGCTGGATATGCGTCAACAGTGTGCCCTTGTTGCCAAGAAGGCCAATGGCATTTTGGGGTGTATATGTAGGGGCATTGCCAGCAGATTGAGGGACGTGATCGTTCCCCTCTATTCGACACTGGTAAGGCCTCATCTGGAGTGCTGTGTCCAGTTTTGGGCCCCACACTACAAGAAGGATGTGGAAAAATTGGAGAGAGTCCAGCGAAGGGCAACAAAAATGATTAGGGGTCTAGAACATATGACTTATGAGGAGAGGCTGAGGGAGCTGGGATTGTTTAGTCTGCGGAAGAGAAGAATGAGGGGGGATTTGATAGTTGCTTTCAACTGCCTGAAAGGGGGTTCCAAAGAGGATGGCTCTAGACTGTTCTCAATGGTAGCAGATGACAGAACGAGGAGTAATGGTCTCAAGTTGCAGTGGGGGAGGTTTAGGTTGGATATTAGGAAAAACTTTTTCACTAGGAGGGTGGTGAAACAGTGGAATGCGTTACCTAGGGAGGTGGTGGAATCTCCTTCCTTAGAGGTTTTTAAGGTCAGGCTTGACAAAGTCCTGGCTGGGATGATTTAACTGGGAATTGGTCCTGCTTCGAGCAGGGGGTTGGACTAGATGACCTTCTGGGGTCCCTTCCAACCCTGATATTCTATGATTCTATGATGCAGAATTAGCCGTGGTAGTTGATGGAATAGCCATCAGATGGTAACTAGTGACCTGAACCATGTTCAAAACAGTGATCTAAATGTGATAATTTTTTAATCTGTCTGCATTAAATGGCTTTTTATAGTGCTTTTTTACCACAGTATCTCAGCACTAGTATACTATTAACAATCCTATTCATATCCTATTCTCCTCTGAACCTTTCAGCCCTTGCAAAAGAGCAAATGTGAGCAGAATATTTCTGCGATTATTGAAGAAAGTATTTTGCCAAGGTGACTTGTTCTAATTTCTTTAATCTGATACATTGAATAAATTTATCAATGAATTGCTCTATTGATGTTTTTGTTTTCCAGGCTGTGACAGCCCTAGTGAAGAACTATCCTAAACACATGGTTTCCTCCATGCAGCAGATCCTGCCGATTGTTTGGAATACACTTACAGAAAGTGCAGCCTTATATCCTTTTTCCTTATGGTGTGTGGTTTAAAGTAGAATAAAAGAGCTCTTGAGGAGTCTCAGAAGAAGAAAGCAATTGTACACAGATCTTGTATGTGGCTGTAGGCAAATTGGAGAGCAATCAGTTTACCGTGGCAGACAGAAAACAAAAAAAAAAAACAATTGCTTAATGGACCTTTGATCAATAGTCCAACCACTTGCATTACACAGGTCCTAGAATTTCACCCAGTAATTCCTGCATCATGCCCATTAACCTGTAGTTAAACTAGAGCATTTCTTCTAGAGCCACGGTGTCAAAGTAATTTCATAAGGTGTGCCTGATCTGACACCTTGCCACTTGGCTCAGGCCAATTTTGCTGGATTGCTGTACAGCAATCCTGGTTAGTCTTTAAATTCATACTAATGATACTCACTGGGATTGGACCTACCTTCATGTTGGCATGAAGAGTGGACCATGACAAGTCGACTATGGTCATTTTAATAAAATAAATAAATAAAGGGCTTGTCTACATGGCCCCAAAGTTTGCACTATGGGGCCATGATTTATAGAGTACTGCACTCTGTCTCCCCTGTATGGACCCTGCTGGTGTGTACTAAATGTTCCTTAATGTGCATTGATGTAGTCCTGTTTCAGACATGACTACATCAATGGATGCTAGCAGGTACTACGTGGGGATTTAAAGCACAACGCACTGATGTGCCCTCAAATTATACCCTGGTAGCGTGAATTCTGGGTGTGTGTAAACAAGCCTGAAGATTCATGGGAAGTCTGTGGCAGCGTGAATTTGATTTAAATCATGATTTAAATCACTAGTCAGGAAGCCTCGATTTAATCATGGTTTTCTACATAAAAGTGCATTCTTGTTGGTATATTATATGGTATAATACATATTCTTCACAACTCAGAGATGTAGGTTTCACTTTTAGAAGGTACACACTATACATTTTTAAACAGTGATTTATTTTGAAAACTTTTCAGATTAGTTTTATAGCTATATCAGAAAATTAGTGATTGTTTGGTTATTTCATTTACCAAAGGTAATTGAAGCAGATATATATGAAGTCGTTGGGAGGTGAACTATCTCCAATTCAACAGGTTGATCATTAATATTTGGAGGATTTTCTTGCCATGCTGTATTAGGAGGAGAACATCACCAGACGGACATTTAAATTGTTTTATTTAACTAAAACAGCAACATTAAGTATTCTGGATTTTTTTCTTCAACAGCAAACATATAATATTTTTACAAAACAAGCATATGTCCCTCGCTTCTCACATTTATCTCCAGATTTCTTCTCCTTGTCCAGATCTATTTCACTCCCAGCAATCTTCTGTTGATTGAACTTTTTTGACTGTGTACACGAATTTGCAGAGGGATGTTAGAGTTGAGCTCTGTTGTTTCTCACCTCTATATATTTATTTATTTGAAAACATTTTTGCTGTTAACAAGCATGTTACTTCTGGAGACACAAATCCACAGTTTGAGAACTGCAAAACAAAGCATCTCTGATGGTATCTTCTAGACTGAGCACTGAGTCCCATTGGGTAGATGGAAACATTAACCTAAATAATCTATACAGAAGCCTGTGAAACCCCATAAAATTGGGTCCCTAATACATGAACTATTGGAACTCATTTACAAAACTTTTCTTAAACATTACATGAATATATTCTCATATACTATAAAATTAGAATTTATAATCCCTGTTGCATGATGAGATATCTTTGAGCTATAATGTATCTTTAGATAGAAAGGTTTTTTCCTCAAAAAACAATCAAAAAATCCGATTTAAATAAAAATCGATATTTTTTATTTAAAAAAAATCATTGATTTTTATCCACCCTGGTCTGTGGTCCAGGTTAAGCCATTTTGGGGGCCCCACATTGGATATCTCTGTTCTAGAGAGACACCTAGCCTCAATTTCAGCCTCACTGCAGTCCCTGGAAAAATCATGGAGCAGGTCCTCAAGGAATCCATTTTGAAGCACTTGGAGGAGAGAAAGGTGATCAGGAACAGTCAACATGGATTCACCGTGAGGGATAATCCACTACATAGAATTATAGAAGATTAGGAATGGAAGAGACCTCAGGAGGTCATCTAGTCCAACCCCCTGCTCAAAACAGGACTAATGCCAACTAAATCATTCCAGGCAGGGCTTTGTCAAGCCGGGCCTTAAAAACCTCTAAGGATGGAGATTCCACCACCTTCCTAGTGAAATAGTTTTTTCCTAATATCCAACCTAGACTTCCCCCACTGCAACTTGAGACCATTGATTCTTGTTCTGTCATCTGCCACCACTGAGAACATAGAATCCTAGAATATCTGGGTTGGAAGGGACCTCAGGAGGTCATCTAGTCCAACCCCCTGCTCAAAGCAGGACCGATCCCCAATTAAATCATCCCAGCCAGGGCTTTGTCAAGCCTGAGTTTAAAAGCTTCTAGGGAAGGAGATTCCACCACCTCCCTAGGTAACGCATTCCACTGTTTCACCACCCTCCTAATGAAAAAGTTTTCCCTAATATCCAACCTAAATCTCCCCCACTGTAACTTGAGACCATTACTCTTCGTTCTGTCATCTGCTACCACTGAGAACAGTCTAGAGCCATCCTCTTTGGAACCCCCTTTCAGGTAGTTGAAAGCAGCTATCAAATCTCCCCTCATTCATCTCTTCCTTAGACTAAACATCCCCAGTTCCCTCAGCCTCTCCTCATAAGTCATGTGTTCCAGTCCCCTAATCATTTTTGTTGCCCTCCGCTGGACCCTTTCCAATTTTTCCACATCCTTCTTGTAGTGTGCGGCCCAAAACTGGACACAGTACTCCAGATGAGGCCTCACCAATGTCAAATAGAGGGGAATGATCACGTCCCTCTATCTGCTGGCAATGCCCCTACTTATACACCCCAAAATGCCATTGGCCTTCTTGGCAACAAGGGCACACTGTTGACTCATATCCAGCTTGTCGTCCACTGTAACCCCTAGGTCCTTTTCTGCAGAACTGCTGCTGAGCCATTCGGTCCCTACTCTGTAGCAGTGCATTGGATTCTTCCGTCCTAAGTGCAGGACTCTGGACTTGTCATTGTTGAACCTCATCAGGTTTCTTTTGGCCCAATCTTCCAATTTGTCTAGGTCCCTCTGTATCCTGTCCTTACCCTCACCCTCCAGCATATCTACCACTCCTCCAAGTTTAGTGTCATCTGCAAACTTGCTGAGGGTGCAATCCACACCATCCTCCAGATCATTTATGAAGATATTGAACAAAACCGGCCCCAGAACCGACCCCTGGGGCACTCCACTTGATACCGGCTGCCAACTAGATGTGGAGCCATTGATCACTACCCATTGAGCCCGACAATCTAGCCAACTTTCTATCCACCTTATAGTCCATTCATCGAGCCCATACTTCTTTAACAGCTGAGCTCTATCCTTTTTGAAACCCCCCTTCAAGTAGTTGAAGGCTGCTATGAAATCCCCCCACACTCTTCTCTTCTGCAAACTAAAGCCCAGTTCGCTCAGCCTCTCCTCGTCAGTAATGTGCCCCAGCCCCCTGATAATTTTCATTGCCCTCCGCTGGACTCTCCAATTTGTCCACATCCTTTCTGTAGCGCGGAGGGGGGGAACTGGATGCCGTACTCCAGATATGGCCTCACCAGTTCTGAATAGAGGGGATTAATCCCTTCCCTCCATCTGCTGGCAATGCTCCTACTAATGCAGCCCAATATGGTGTTAGCCTTCTTGGCAACAAGGTCACACTGCTGACTCATATCCAGCTTCTCGTCCACTGTAATCCCCAGGTCCTTTTCTGCAGAGCTGCTGCTTAGCCAGCCAATCCCCAGCCTGTAGCGCTGCATGGGATTCTTCTGTCCTAAGTGCAGGACTTTGCACTTGTCCTTGTTGAACCTCATCAGATTTCTTTTAGCCCAATCCTCTAATTTGTCTAGGTCTCTCTGGACCCTATCACTACCCTCCAGCGTATCTACCTCTCCCCACAGCTTAGTGTCATCTGCGAACTTGCTGAGGGTGCAATCCATCCCGTCATCCAGATTATTAATAAAGATCCAACCTCTGTGGCACTCCGCTTGATACCGGCTGCCAACTAGACATCGAGCTGTTGATTACTACCCGTTGAGCCCAACAATCTAGCCAGCTTTCTGTCCACTTTATAGTCCATTCATCCAATCTATACTTTTTTAACTTGCTGGCAAGAACTTGGTACAGTGGCTGGTTATATTCACTGTTAAATATGCATCTTATTTCCAGTTTGAATTTTTCTGACTTCAGCAGTTACATCTTGGTATGCCTTTGTCTGCTAGATTAAGGAGTCCTCTATCTCAGAAGTGGCCAACCTGTGGCTCCGGAGCCACATGTGGCTCTTTAAAAGTTAATATGCAGCTCCTTATATAGGCACCAACTCCGGGACTGGAGCTACAGGCGCCAACTTTGCAATGTGCCAGTGGTGCTCACTGGTCAACTCCTGGCTCTGCCACAGGCCCTGCCCCCACTCCATCCCCTTCCTTGAGCCTGCCATGCCCTCACTCCTCCCCCTCCCTCCCAGAGCCTCCTGTACGCCACAAAACAACTGATCAGTTGGTGCAGGGAGGGAGGAGGAGGCACTGATTGGTGGGGTTGCCGGTGGGTGCCATGGGGTGGGGGAGGGGAGCTGATGGGGGGGCTGTTGATGTATTACTGTGGTTCTTTGGCAATGTACATTAGTAAATTCTGGCTCCTTCTCAGGCTCAGGTTGGCCACCCCTTCCCTATCTGATAGCTTTTCCCTGTACTTACGTGACATCTTGATCTTCTTTTGGATAAATTATATAGATTAAGCTTCTTTAGTAAAGCAGGTTTTCCAGACCATGAAACCTTCTTGAAGCTCTTCTCTGAACCCTCTCCAATATTTCAGTACCTTTTTTTAAAAAGTGTGAACATCAGAACTGGACACCTTCAGTAGTAGTTAAAGAAGTGAGTGAGGGAATTCCACACTCACCCTTTTGACTGGAGAGTCTATGGTTCTTCTAGAGATTGCAGAACCCCAGGCTACTTTATCTCAATAGCCCAGGCATAGTCTTTCTCTTTTATCATATAATCATAGAACTGGAAGGGACCTCAAGAGATCATCTAGTCCAGTCCCCTGCACTCAAGGCAGGACTAAGTATTATCTATACCATTCCTGACAGGTATTTGTCCAAGCTGCTCTTAAAATCCCCAATGATGGAGATTCCACAACCTCCCTTGGGAATTTATTCCAGTGCTTAACCACTCTGACAGTTGCGAAGTTTTTCCTAATGTCCAATCTAAACCGCCCTTGCTGCAATTTAAGCCTGTTGCTTCTTGTCCTATCCTCAGAGGTTAAGAAGAACAATTTTTCTCCCTCTTCCTTGTAACAACCTTTTACATACTTGAAAAGGGTTATCATGTCCCCACTCAGTCTTCTCTTCTCCAGACTAAACAAACCAAGTTTTTTCAACCTTCCCTCATAGGTGATGTTTTCTAGACCTTTAATCATTTTTGTTGCTCTTCTCTGGACTTTCTTTAATTTGTCCACATCTTTCCTGAAATGTGGTGCCCAGAACTGGACACAGTACTCTAGTTGAGGCCTAATCAGCACAGAGTAGAGCAGAAGAATTACTTCTCGTGTCTGCTTACAACACTCCTGCTAATATACCCCAGAATGATGTTCGCTTTTTTTGCAACAGCATTACACTGTTGAGTCTTATTTAGTCTGATCCACTATGACCCCCAGATCCGTTTCCACAGTATTCCTTCCTAAGCAGTCATTTCCCATTTTTTATGTGTGCAACTGTTTGTTCCTTCCTAAATGGAATACTTTGTATTTGTCCTTATTGAATTTCATCCTATTTACTTCAGACCATTTCTCCAGTTTGTCCAGATCACTTTGAATTTTAATCCTGTCCTAAGCACTTGCAACCACTCCCAGCTTGGTATCGTCTGCAAACTTTATATATGTACTCTCTATGCCATTATCTCAATCACTGATGAAGATATTGAACAGAAGTGGACTCAGAACTGATCCCCCCCCACTCATTATGCCCTTCCAGCATGACTGTGAACCACTTATAACTACTGTCTGCGAATGATTTTCCAACCAGTTATGCACCCACCTTATAGTGGCTCCATCTAGGTTGTATTTCCCTAGTTTGTTTATGAGAAGGTCATGTGGGGCAGTATCAAAAGCCTTACTAAAGTTAAGATATACCACATCTACCGCTTCCTTTCTATCCACAAGGCTTGTTAGCTTTCTTTGGCAGGGTATGAGGTTGATTTGAATGATTTGTTCTTCACAAATCCATGCTGACTGTTACTTATCACCTCATTCTCTTCTAGATGTTTGCAAATTGATTTCTTAATTATTTGCTCCATTATCTTTCCAGGTACAGAAGTTAAGGTGACTGGTCTGTAATTGTCCTTATTTTCCTTTTCCTGTCTTCTGGAACGTGTCTTTCCTGTCTTCCGTGACTTTTCAAAGATAATTGCTAATGGCTCAGATATCTCCTCAGTCAGCTGTTTGAGTAGTCTAGGATGCATTTCATCAGGCCCTGATGAACTTTTAATTTGACTTGTAACTTAAATCTTTCTCTTAGACTCTCCCCCCCTCTCCCCTCCCCCGCTGGTGTAAAATTTCAGTTAGAAACCAAACTTTCTGCCCTATGGTTCCATTTATATTGAAATCTCATTAGTGAGAATGAAGTTTTAGATCATACCTTCCCTCATCCACACACTATCCTCAGTGGATTTTTAAAATGAATTAAAAGGGGTCATCCGAAATCTGTCAATGAACATAATTATATTGTCTGTCTTTAACAAATCTACTTGGAAAATTTAATACAGGTTACTTGTGCTTTTATGCATTTCATATTTAATTATTCTACTTGAAATACAATGACTTTTTGCTGTAAAGTGAAAACTAATTTGCTTTAGGAAATCATATAAAGACTTAATAATTTGAGTGGGTTTGTTACTGAATAGAAGCAATCCTCGAGTAATGTGTAAGATAAACGGTTGCTCTTATTTACTTAACTACTTGCTATACCTATGTGAGAACAGAAGTGAATTATACAGAAGAGGTAGAGGACCCTGTGGATTCTGATGGTAAGTGCTAGTCATGATACACTTCTGTTCTCTGTAGGGAGAGAGTAGGGAAACTCATCTCAACAGTTACTGATTTCAGAACAACGACCTAGACAAATTTATATTCCTGTTTCTGTATATACTGTTCGCTTATATGCAATTGTGGTGGTGGAGTGGGGTTTATGACATTCTGTGAGTTACACCAAAGGATGGTAGTTTATTGATTTTTCCAGCTAGCATTGAAGAGTAAGGCTATTGTTAAAGGGACACTAGTTACATTCTTTTAAAAATGCAATCATTCCCTTCTCTGTTAAAAATTACACATATGGCCAGGGGTTTTCTAGCTCCTTGGCCATGAAGAACACAGGACTTCTGTCAAAACTGGACAGTGTTGCCACTTAATCATTCCAAGAGGGTGCTATGAAATTCAAGGGGCAGCAGGCTACTCCTAAGGTGGAACAGTGTTGCATCTGCAGTAGTCCCAGCTCTCACTACCCCAGTAGTGAGACCAGAAATTATCCTGCCTGACCTGTTAACAGATTGTAATATTAATATTTGCCAGTCATTTATGCAGGGCCATGATTCGACACAGTCAGTTGTGAAACTTCCTCCTTGTTTCTTTGTTCAGGTGAAGTATTGGGCTTTGAAAACCTAGTATTCAGCATATTTGAGTTTGTACATGCCTTGTTGGAAAATCACAAATTTAAAAGCACAGTGAAGAAAGCTTTGCCAGAGCTGATATATTACATCATTCTCTACATGCAGATCACAGAGGAGCAGGTAAGTGAACATGTAAAAAGTAAAAGAGGCAAACAGTGGAAGCCTGTTCACATGAGAGATTCAAACTAGCAGATGAAGCACTAGAAAGGATTTGGGTGGGAAGGAGTCATGATTAAGGCTACGGTTTAGTCACGGGTATTTTTAGTAAAAGTCATGGACAGGTTATGGGCAACTTACTAAAAATACCTGAGACTAAATCTTCTCTCCTGGGAGGGGGGCACTCCTGAAGACTGCAGCTGGGGGGAGTGGCCTGGGGTCCCCCTCAGCAGTCCTGGACCACTGCTCCAGGGCAGTGCCAGGGACTGGCTGCCAGAGCAGTGGCTGGCCCAGGGCTTTCCCAGCTGCTGGGGTGGTCCTGGGGTCAGCTGCATCAGCACCGCAAAATTCTTGGCGGTCACGGAAGCCGTGACTTCTGTGAATGATCTGAAGCCTTAGTCATGATAACTGAATAGGTGTCTTCTGTTTATTTCCTACAATTCTTAGTCCTAGAGTTTAAGGCCAGAAGGAACCACCAGGTCATCTTGTCTGACTTCCTGTATATCACTGGCCACCAGCACCACACACTAAACCCAATAGAAATGAGACCAAAGTAAATGAGTCCCACAAGAGACTATACTATTGTGTGCCACAGACAGAGAATAGGAGGGACGAAGGTGCCCCAGTGCTAGAGGCCCCCATAATGGCAGGGTAATGATTAAATGAGAGAGACCAGATAATCCTGGCAAGTGACCTATACCCCCACACTGGAGGGGAAGGCAAAAATCCTCACGGTCACTGCCATTCTGAACTGGGGGAAAATTTCTTCCTGACCCCCTATATGGCGATCTGTTAGACCCTGAGACTATGAGCAAGAATCAGCCAGCCAAGCACCCGAGAGAGAGAGAGAGCGACTGCTGATGCAATCTCAGAGCCCTGGCTCACCCCACCTCGTGGCCTGTCTCCCGTCATGGCCATCCCTGATGCTTCAGAGAAAGCAGACTTAAAAAACAACAACAAAACCCTCCCAGAATACGCTGTGGGGAAGGGAATCCCTTCCTGACCACTGCTGGTGATTGCAAAGCCCTTCTCCCCCTTTCCCTCCGTCACAAACATAAGAACATAAGAGCGATCATACTGGGTTACACCAAAGGTCCATCTAGCCCAGTATCCTGTCTTCCGAAAGTGGCCAGTGCCGGGTGCCCCAGAGGGAACAAACAGAACAGGTAATCATCAAGTCGGGCTCACAACGGGTAGTGATCAATGGCTCCATGTCTAGTTGGCAGCCGGTATCAAGTGGTGTGCCCCAAGGGTCGGTCCTGGGGCCGGTTTTGTTCAATATCTTCATAAATGATCTGGAGGATGGTGTGGATTGCACTCTCAGCAAATTTGCGGATGATACTAAACTGGGAGGAGTGGTAGATACGCTGGAGGGGAGGGATAGGATACAGAAGGACCTAGACAAATTGGAGGATTGGGCCAAAAGAAATCTGATGAGGTTCAATAAGGATAAGTGCAGGGTCCTGCACTTAGGACGGAAGAACCCAATGCACAGCTACAGACTAGGGACCGAATGTCTAGGCAGCAGTTCTGCGGAAAAGGACCTAGGGGTGACAGTGGACGAGAAGCTGGATATGAGTCAGCAGTGTGCCCTTGTTGCCAAGAAGGCCAATGGCATTTTGGGATGTATAAGTAGGGGCATAGCGAGCAGATCGAGGGACGTGATCGTTCCCCTCTATTCGACATTGGTGAGGCCTCATCTGGAGTACTGTGTCCAGTTTTGGGCCCCACACTTCAAGAAGGATGTGGATAAATTGGAGAGAGTCCAGCGAAGGGCAACAAAAATGATTAGGGGTCTGGAACATATGAGTTATGAGGAGAGGCTGAGGGAGCTGGGATTGTTTAGCCTGCAGAAGAGAAGAATGAGGGGGGATTTGATAGCTGTTTTCAACTACCTGAAAGGGGGTTCCAAAGAGGATGGCTCTAGACTGTTCTCAATGGTAGGAGATGACAGAACGAGGAGTAATGGTCTCAAGTTACAGTGGGGGAGGTTTAGATTGGATATTAGGAAAAACTTTTTCACTAAGAGGGTAGTGAAACACTGGAATGCGTTACCTAGGGAGGTGGTAGAATCTCCTTCCTTAGAGGTTTTTAAGGTCAGGCTTGACAAAGCCCTGGCTGGGATGATTTAACTGGGAATTGGTCCTGCTTTGAGCAGGGGGTTGGACTAGATGACCTTCTGGGGTCCCTTCCAACCCTTATATTCTATGATTCTATGATTCTATGATTCTAAGTGATCCATTCCTTGTCGCACATTCCCAGCTTCTGGCAAACAGAGACTACGGACACCATCCCTGCCCATCCTGGCCAATAGCCATTGATGTACCTATCCTCCATGAATTTAACTAGTTCTTTTTTGAACTCTGTTATAGTCTTGGCCTTCACAAGATCCTCTGGCAAGTTCCACAGATTGTGCGTTGTGTGAAAAAATACTTCCTTTTATTTGTTTTAAACCTGCTGCCTATTCATTTCATTGGATAACCCCTAGTTCTTGTGTTTATGGGGAGGAGTAAATAACACTTTCTTATTTACTTTCTCCACAGCAGTCATGATTTTCTAGACCTCTATCATATCCCCCCCTTAGTCATCTCTTTTTCAAGCTGAAAAGTCCCAGTCTTTTTAATCTCTCCTCATATGGCAGCTGTTCCATACCCCTAATAATTTTTGTTGCACTTTTCTGAACCTTTTCCAAGTCCAATATATCTTTTTAGAGATGGGGCAACCACATCTGCATGCAGTATTCAAGATGTGGGCGTACCATGGATTTATATAGTGGTAATATATTTTCTGTCGTCTTATCTGTCCCTTTCTTAATGATTCCCAATGTTGTTTGCTTTGTCTGCCGCTGCACATTGAGTGGGTGCTTTCAGAGAACTATCCACAATGACTCCAAGATTTCTTTCTTGAGTGATAACAGCTAATTTAGACCCCATCATTTTATATATATATAGTTGGGATTATGTTTTTCAATGTGCGATACTTTGCATTTATCAACATTGAATTCAATCTGCCATTTTGTTGTCCAGTCACCCAGTTTTGAGAGGTTGCAGTCTGCCTGGGATTTAACTACCTTGAGTAGTTTTGTATCATCTGCAAGTTTTACCACCTCACTGTTTACTCCTTTTTCCAGATCACGTATGAATATGTTAAATAGGAATGGGCCCAGTACAAACCCCTGGGGGACACCACTGAGTTTTCTCTCCATTCTGAAAACTATTTATTCGTACCCTTTGTTTCCTATCTTTTAACCAGTTACCAATCCATGAGAGAACCTTCCCTTTTATCCCATGACTGTTTACTTTGCTTAAGAGCTGTTGGCGAGGGACCTACATTTCATTTGCCAGAGTTTATGGTCCTTTCTATTTTCCTCATTAGGATTCAACTTCCACTTTTTAAAGGATGCCTTTTTGCCTCTCACTGCTTCTTTTGTTTTGTTTAGCTGTGGTGGCTCTTTTTAGGTTTTCTTACTGTGGATAAGTTGAGGTATACATTTTAATTTGGGGTATACATTTAAGTTGAACCTCTAATATGGTGTCTTTAAAAAAAAGTTTCCATCTCATAAATTTGTCCAGCTCTTGGGCGCGTGCTCTCTCTCTCTCTCACACACACACACGCTCACACACAAAGTTAAATAAGTGGTTTACCCCCACGACTCCTATTAAAGGGCTATTCCAGAACTTCATCCTCTGATGGTTAGAAACCTTCTAATTTCCAGCCTGAATTTCTTCATGGCCAGTTTATATCCATTTGTTCTTGTCCTTCAGTTTCAATAGGTCTTCACCCTTCCTGGTGTTTACTCCCTAATGTGTTTATAGAACAATCATATCTCCTCCCAGTCTTTGTTTTGCTAGACTAAACAAGCTCTTTCAATCTCCTCTCTTAAGATAGGCTGTCCATTCTCCTTATAGTAGTAGCTCTTCTCTGCACTTGTTCCAGTATAATCTTTCTTGAGCATAGGTGATGAGAATTGTACACAGTATTCCAAATGAGGTCCTACTAGTGCCTTGTACAATGGCATTAATATTTCTCTATCTCTATTGGAAATGCCTCACCTAATAGGTCACAGGATTGTGTTTACCTTTTTCATGGCCACACCAACTGGTGGCTCATAGTCATCCTGTGATTTATCCCTCGCTCCCAGGTCTCTGTTGCTTACACCCGATGAGCCCCAGCTTTTAACAGAAATTCTTATTAGACCCTAAATGCATTACTCTGCACTTGGTACTACTGAATTTTATTCCATTTGTCACTCCAGTATTCAAGGTCATCCAGATGTCACTGAACTATTGTGATTTTTCCCTCTGCTTTTGTTTCAGATAAAAGTCTGGACTGCAAATCCACAGCAATTTGTGGAGGATGAAGATGATGACACTTTCTCCTATACAGTAAGGATTGCTGCGCAGGACTTGTTGCTGGTAAGAAATGTGTTCTGTGTCTGAAGGACCCAAATGGTATTGAATTACAACTTGATTGTTACAAAAATTGCTACTGTAACTTGCATACAGTTTGTACTGGGTAGTTTGAAGTATAACAGCTGCAAAAAGAGTGTTTAAAATGCACCTGTAGAAAGAAACAGTGTGACAGTCATTATTTCTTTTACCCAGGCTGTAGCTGCTGATTTCCAGAATGAGAGTGCAACTGCTTTGGCTGCAGCAGCTACGAGACACTTGCAGGAAGCTGAGCAGGCTAAAAACAGTGGTGCTGAGCACTGGTAAGGAGGCAGGCAATGTGGGTTACAATGATGATGGAATAAGTGGTGGCCTATCTCACAGCATTAGGAGATAATGCATTCATAATGCAAATGAATTGTAACTTCTTTCTGGTGATGCAACTGGGGTAACACTAAGGTCTTGTGGGTTTTGTGTGTTAGAAGCAAAAATGTAAAAAAACCCGACCCATGTAAAGACATCTACAGGTTACATATAGCAGTTGTGTTCTCTGCTCTCCCTAGACTAAACTAACAGTTGCCAGCACTTCAGCACTGAAATTGTTCTAATAGTTTTCAATGAAAAGTTTTTTTTCGGTTACAACAATTCCAGATGAGTTATAAAAACAAATTTGGGTGGACTTCTTCATTGGTTTCATGCTGCTGAATTCAGGTATCCCCTCTTGAATTTCTGTTTGTGTGTGGATTTTTCATTATCACCTCATGAATGTGTCCAATTTTAGAATAGTTTTCAACGGCCCGTATTAGCTGGGGAAAGGGGAAGAAAATACATCTGTCTAATGCAGGGGTATCAAACACGCGGCCTGTGGGCTGGCTGCAGCCCGCCAAGCTCCCCACCCCCCGGAGTTATTTCCTGTGGCCCCAAGCTCCCCTAACCCTCCGCCCCCCTTCCCCACAGTGCTCCGTGTCCCCGCTCCTCTGCCTACCTCCAGGCGCTTCCCCCCACCAAACAGCTGTTTGGCGGCGCTTAGTGGTTTCCAGGGGGGAGGAGTGGGGAGCCATGTGCTCGGGAGGAGGTGGAGAAGAGGCGGGGGCAGGGGGGGAAGGGGTTGGAATAGGGGCAGGGAGAGGGTGGAGTTGGGGTGGGGACTTTGGGGAAGGGGTTGGAATGGGGGCGAGGAAGGGGTGGGAAGGGCAGGGCAGGGGCGGGGCCTCATGGAAGGGGTGGAGTGGGGGTGGGGCTTTTGTATCTTTATATGAAAAGGTGTCAGTGATGCGGCCCTTGGGCCAATGTACTAGTCCTCATGTGGCCCTCGTGGTGATTTGAGTTTGAGATCCCTGATCTAATAGATACCTACTTACTGTCACATAAATATCCTGTGTTAGTGTTAGCTCAGTGTTGTTTTTTAGTGGATATTAGAAAGGGGCAGTAACCACTCCATAATTAAATTTTCAGCTGAATTTCTCTGGAAAGCCTGATATAGCCCTCTCTGGTTCCCCACCCATCCCCACAGCAAAACAATGGCTGTCTCAAAATTGTTAAATAAAGCCTGAGTTTGAGGTAGGTTCACCTTAGTCCAGAAAGTCATTGGCTCTGAGCTTAAAGTAAGCCACCAACTAACTGCTGAAAGCCTAAATGTCATTATTAAAAAAAAAAAAAAAAAAAAAAGCCAAGAACACCCAAGACTATATTTATAAATAAAAAAAATTGATGAAGGGAAAGATAGGTTTATATTTTGAGTTATCACACGGAGATGGCTGATAAGTTCCTCACAGAGAATTCTTCTGATTTTTGCTTTATACTAACATAAGAACAAGTATAGTGTGAGCACTAATGTTGTTTGTTGGATTAATCTTTTAAAGGTGGGTGGAAATGCCCCTGTCCTGCAACCCCCTGGTAGCCTCAGTATCACCATTCTTGCAGACATCCTCAGGTGCTCATTTCTTATGGACTAAAGAGGAAAAGCAGAAGAGGGTGTTTGGGTTGTGTGGGCATGGGGTTCAAAAGAGTGGCTCTTGTGTTTGGGGGATGGGGGGGGGACTAAAATGGCTGTGGAAAAGGGGGACAATGGAGTAAGAGAATATGCGGGTGAGACAATGGAGACAATGAAGAAGAGGTCATAGGCAGTACAGCAGGATATTCTACCCCTCCTACAGATATTAAGAGGCTTATCAGTGAGCCTTAGGAGAAATAACCTCACTCCCTGCAAACCTTCGAAGGCTCATTGGGGTTCCTCATAACCACCCCCAAAGTCCTAGGAGCCTTATTAGGCTTGGTAGATACTAATGAGTGACAATAAAATCAGCCCCAATGTTAACACGCTCAGGGTTCATTGGGGAGCAAACTGCCTTAGTGAGGCTTGTTGGCAGTGGTGGTTTGGCTGGCCCCTGAAGAATGCACTAAGGTTTTCAGGAGGTGTGTGCAAAGTCCCACTAGCATCCTAAGGCTCATGCAGTTCAGGAGGCTTTTAATGAGTATCTTTAGGTTAATGGGGTGAGCATGAGCTTTCTATGGCTCACAGTGGGGACTCAATCTTTGTGGGGGGTCCCCTGCTATTCAGAGGGTGGGGGGAGGCCCAGCAAGTCTCCTGAAGCCAGCAGGGGGTGGTTGGCATTGTGAAGGCCACTAAGAGCTTCATAAGGCTCACTGGGAGTTGATTCACTTGCCCTGTCACATATTAGGATTATTTAAAAAACTTAGGCCTGTATTACCCACAGGAGGGTCTGGTTCTGTTCAATATCTTTATCAGTGATTTAGATAATGGCACAGAGAGTGCGCTTATAAAGTTTGGGGACTGCACCAACCTGGGTGGGGTTGCAAGTGCTTTGTAGGATAGGATTAAAATTCAAAATGAACAGAACAGACTGGAGAAATGGTCTGAGGGAAATGAAATTCAATAAGGACAAATGCAAAGTACTCCACTAAGGAAGGAACAATCAGTTGTTCTTCGCGTGCTGTCCCCGTGGGTGCTCCACTCCAGGTGATGGTGCTTCCCAATGCCATTGATCTTTGGTATCAGTGCCTGGTCGGGATGCACATGCTCAGCTGCTGTCTCGTGGCATCATTAGGGTCTGCCTGAGTGCGTGCGTTCCGCACCCCCACTCAGTTCCTTCTCAACCATCCTCGGCTGAAGACGGGACTCGGTGCTATTCTCTTCCCTGATCACAGAAGGAAATAAATAACAAGAAATAGAAATAGTTAGCTAGACATATCCCAGTTCTCTCCCTTTCTTTAGAATAGTTCATTAGTTTAAAAAACAAAAACAAAAACAAAAAAGCCTTTTATCTCATGTTCATCTCCCATTGAGACTTCCCCCTGGGTAATCATACTTCCATCATGCCGGGGTCCCCGGGCTTTAAGAAATGCGGGGCTCCTGCAAGGAACCTATGCTGTGGTCTGATGGGCACTCACTCTGTGTGAAATGCTTCGGCAAGACACACGTCCTTTCCAAGTGTCTCCACTGTACCAACCTGAAAACCAGGGCTCGTCATGACAGGGACTTGCAACTAAAAATGCTTCTGTTGGAGAAGGCTCTGCAGCTGCCTATGGGGACGGGCAGTAAACCCTCTCCCTCATGCTCCCCTGCTAGGTCGGAACTGACCGGGAGTGCAGCTTCACCCTCTCAGGCAAAGAGGCAGGAAGTCCAAATGTCTCCGCGCAGAGACCTTCAAAAGGGGAAAGGGTCTCCTGTGAGATCTTTACCCTCTGTGCTGACAGCACCAAGAGCAGGTGCCTCCGACTGCCTCAGCCATGGCTCACGCGGGGTGCAGAAACAGGCATCCGACTTCCCACAGCGGGAAGCTTTCCTCCACCCGATGCCGTGGCCTGCGCAATGGCAGGCTCCTCCCCAGTGGCCTTTTTGAACTTCCTGGGCATTCCACCAAAGCTGGGGGTCCCCAGTTCTGGAGGTCAGCGTCGGTGGCTTCAGTATCCCACGTGCCTCCTCCACCCTCCTCAGCGCAGGTCCAGTCACCGTACCGGAAGACCCAGCGCCACACAATCCCATCGGTGTCGAGGGTCAGGAACAAGCGCTGGTCCCAGATAGAGCCTTGTCCTGATCTTCACCAGACGAGGCAGTGGCTGGAGCCTCCCCGCTCCTGCACTAGGGGACAATAGGGTCCTCCATCAGCTCCTGAACAGGGTGACCCAGAACCTGGGGATCCAGGTTGAGGAGGTTGCTGAGACATCGGATCCCATGGTGAACATTCTGGCACCCTCTGGCCCCTCTCGGGTTGCCCTCCCGCTCATAAAAACTATACAGGAGACCACCAAGATACTGTGGCTGACCCCTGCCACTGACAGCGAAGAGAACCTAGAGAAAGTATTTCATTTCATTTTAGGGATTCGAACATTTTTATACACCACACCACCCTCACCCACCCCCACCCACCAGTGGATTCCCTAGTAGTAACAGTGATGAACAAGCAGGAGCGCCAAGCACACCAGGGCCCATCACCCAGAAACTGTGATGCAAAAAAGCTGTACGTCTTTGGGAGAAAAATTTACTGGGGGGCTTCATGCTCCATCTACACAGCGGAGGCACTTTAAGCTGCAGCCCCGCCTCCATTCTATCATCTGCAGTAGGCAGGACTTCTCTAGGAGGCATAACAGAAATAATAGAAGGAGGGCTCAGGGCTCTAGGCAAGTGCAACAGTCCTCAGGTCAAAAGCAGACCTTTGGAAGTTGCGCCCAAGGGTGATGCACCAGTCCAAACTCTGGACCCATCCATTCCTACCTTCCTGTGCTGACTATCCCATTTTTCCCTGCGTGGGCCTGAATTACATCAGCTCTCTGGCTGATCTGCACAGTAGAAAGGGTATACTCTCTCCATCTCCCTCCCTCCCTTCCACCTTTCTTCATTGTCCCTCTTCAGGGACCCCTATCATGAGCAGCTTCTCATGTAGGAGGTGCACATGCTCCTAAGTGTGGGGGCAGCAGAAGAGGTCCCTCAGGAGTTGAAGGGCAGGGGATTTTTATTCCCGGTATTTCTGAATATCGAAAGCCAAAGGTGGCCTCGGGCCCATCCTAGACCTGCGAGACCTCAACAAGTTCATACATAAACTGAAGTTTCGCATGGTCTCTTTGGCCTCCATTATCCCTTCCCTAGATCCGGGGGACCATTATACCGCCCTCGACTTGAAGGAAACTTACTTTCATATTTCAATAATGCTGTCCCACAGAAGGTACCTCAGGTTTGTGGTGAACCGCAATCACTATCAGTTCACAGTCCTTCCTTCTGTCTTGTCAGCGGTACCTCGAGCATTTACCAAGTGCATGGCAGTTGTAGCTGCTTTCTTGCGCAAGCGCCAGGTGCAGGTGTTCC